TGTAGTGAGCTCGATCATGCTGACTGTACGTCTAGTGCTATAGAAGCGACTAAGAAATTCATATTCCATTTGCTCCCAACTATCAATGGAGTTTGCTTCCAAATCAGTGTACCAGTCGAATGCGACCCCTTTGAGTGAACGAACAAACTGCTTTACGAGATAATCACCATGGGTTCCCGAATCGTTGCATGTCTCAATAAAGTGGGCTATATGTTGCTTCGGGTTGCCCTTGTCATCAAACTGCTGGAACTTGGGAGGTTGATATCCAACAGGCATCCTCAAGTTATCGATCCTTGACGTATATGGCTTGGCGTATGTGTGAGTTGACTTGGAACCACCATCAAGCTTATCTTTAATTGTCCCCATGATAAAATCCTTCAGTTGATCAACGTGGATCATTCCATCAGACGAATGTTGAAATGTTGGAGTCTTCTCTCTTTCGTGAAATTGCTGCTGTTTGGAAGTTTCAGACTCATCAAGATCTTCATCTTGTTTGTCCTTCATGCGGCTCGTTTCAGCATTGTCAACCTTGTCCATTAGCTTTGAGATTTGAGAGTCTTGCTCTTGGACCTTCTTCGCGAGCCCTTCAATGACCTTTGTCAAGCTTGCGATGTGTTCTTCAAGAGTTGAAGCATTAGTTGTCATAACTTGAGCAACACTTGAGCTTGAATTTGATGAAGAGCTTGATGATGAGCGGGGAGTTGATGAAACGGAGTCGTCTTCATCACCTTCGTGGGTAAGATGCAGCTTATCACTTCCAATCACCTCGTGCAAAGGAGTCATCTTCGAAGATGCTTGCAGTTGCTTGGCCATGCTTCTTGTAACGACGCCGAGGTTGGAGCTTGAAGAACTTGTTGAAGGAATCTTGACTACGGCGACCTTGCGGCTAGTCATGATGATTTGAGGAATTTTGAAGAAAGAGATGAGAGGTAGAGAAGTCCCACTGGGGTTACAATCTCTAATTTCTCCTTCGATTCTTCTCACGAACAATTTTAAGTCTTGGAGCGAAATCTTCGGCTTGATCTTCTCCTTGACTTGATTTGACTTGAATTAACGTTAATCCGAGGGCCAACGCCTTAATTTCAGATCAAACGTTGAAATATACCAAGAACGCGAAGAACACGAATCCTTGGTCTTCGTCGCAAAGTAGATCTTGAATCTTCTCTACGCCAGTTTTGAATTTACTAACGTTATTCGGAGGCTTCGCAGCTTGTTTCCGGATTGAACGCCAGTCTTGAGGTTGAACGCGCTTGAATCTTGCTTCGAATCTTCAAGAATGCCTTTGAATCTTCAAAAACACTTGAATCTCGTCGAGAGAGTTCTCTAGAGCTCTTGAATTTGAATATGAATTATGAGGTGTGCTTTTGACTTTAGGGAGAGCCCCTATTTATAGGTGTATGAGGGAGAACCCTACCAAATTTAAGAATCGTAGGACGCGATTTGATTGGTCCATGATGATTTACATAAGATCTTTTAGATCTACTTAGATCTCCCAAGATCTTCTAGAAGACATGTGATTTATTACCAAAAATAAGATTTGACACTTGACAATATTTGATTAGTCAAGAATTAAAATAATAAAATATCAATTAATTAACTATTTAAAATTAGGAATTAAATATATGGGAATTCCTAAAATATAAATAGAAAATATGACTTGATTTTTAATAAATTATATTCCACGTGGCGCCATTTGATTGGCCACAAAATTTCTTTATCTACATGAATATCTAGGTGTGATCTCGGCCTCTCTCTCTCAAGTGGCTATCGACTCGTCGTGGCGACTTCAGTAAACCTTGACGAGCTCTATATCTTTGTTTCTTAGTCGTCGAACCTTTCGGTCCAGGACAGCTATTGGTTGCTCATCGTATGTCAGGTTCTGCCCGACATTCTTACTCGCCAAAGTTCACGTATGACTCGGGTCGTACACGTACTTTCTCAACATCGTGGCGGGGATGAGGTTATGTACACCCGAGGGTTCTGGGGGCAACGCCAGACGGTAGGCTGTTATGCCAACTTGCTCGAGAATGTTAAAAGGCCCTATAAAACGGGGCTGCAATTTTTCCTTCTTCCCTAAATGTACAACGCCCTTCATTGGAGTGACTTTCAGGAATAACCTAACTCTAACATAGGTTTCCTGTCTGCTCTACGCCTCTCTCAGCCTCACTCCGATCATGGCGACCTTCTACACTGTATCCTCGATCAACTTAGGACCGAGAACCTGATTCTCGCCGACTTCATCCCAATAAAGGTTGAGCGGCACTTGCACCCGGACAAAACTTTGTACGTCGTTATTTTGATCAACGAGTGATAGTTGTGAGTGTACACGAACTCCACAGTGGGTAACAACTTTTCCCACGAACTACTTCGCTCTAGGACACAAGCCCGAAGCATGTCCTCGAGCGTCTGGATGGTCCCTTCCGACTGGCCATTGGCCTATGGGTGTTATGCGGAGCTGAAACTCAACTTCGCACCAGTATTTAGTGGCACTACTATAAATAGTGATACCCTGTCTGGGATTCGGAATAGTCAACACGGGCGTTGTCGTAAGCCTTGCTTTGAGCTTCTGAAAGCTCGACTCACGACGACTGCACCATTCAAACTTCACTGACTTCCTCGTCAATCGAGACAAGGGCAGGGCAAACTTGGGAAAACGCCTCGATGAATCTTCTTTATTAGCCAGCTAGTCCGAAGAAACTCCAAGCCTCAGTGGCATTTCTCGGCTTGACTAGTTCCAAACTGCTTTAATCTTTCTTAAGTCTACCTCAATCTCTCTAGAAGTGACAATGCGGCCTAGGGAAGCCACTTTGTCAAACTAAAATTTGCACTTTAAGCACTTAGCGTATAATTTCTCACGCCGAAGAGTCTCCAAACAGTCCTCAAGTGCTTCAACTTCCATTACCATCCCAACATGCATGAGGACTTGAACTTATAAATTTGAAATCTATGGATTTCAAATCCCTCCGTAAATCCTTCAATCCAAACTTAGCCTTAGAGATTACGCAAGACGTTGGAGGTGGAAAAATAAAAATGGCTGAGAATTTATCGACGATGAGGATGAAGTTCGAAGGGCGAATGACTAAGGATCGTTGCATGCCTCCTATTGTCTTTTGAATTCAAGAGTGGATTTAGACCCTTGATAATCGTGAGGGGAGGGCTAGAGTATGCCTTTTGTTGATAATCATCTTAAATAAGAGAGGAGGTGTGGTTATCATTAATCACAACATAATAATATACTTTGAGACATAAGCGTCAAAGGCTCTATGTCAAAATGCTCCCAGTGTTTTTGTATGTTTTCGGGTAAAGAGATTAGGGAAAATTTAAAGAAGACTGGTTATCCAAACTGGGTTTATTTGATAGATCCTTATGTGTTAATATTTCCATGTAAAAGGTGACAAAATTAATTTAAGGCACTAAAGTTGTGTTCTTATCCGGAATCTGTGAAAAATCTATACTTATATAATAAGGTGTACCATTTACGAAATTTAGTAAGTTGAAAAGTCAATGCAATAAATGCATTACTATTTTGAGCAACATAATATAATATCATATCTATACTTATATAAAAGGAGATTCTATTTACTATATTTACTATCCAAAAAAGTCAACTGCATTAAATGTCATTACTATTTTGGTATTATAATATTTTATTTATTTAATTGATTTATTTATTTGTTTTATTTTAAAAAGATAAGTATAATAAAAAGATTTTAATAATAAAAAAAAACCAAATACCAAATAAAAATGTACACTTTGACTTATTTGATTATATTGGTATTTGATTATACCAAATATATTCCTATTTAGTATATACATTAAATACTTACTAAAGTATTTATTTGTTTTATTTGTCAAAGTTAAGTATAGATTTGTTTATATTATCAAGTCATAAAAAAATATTAAATCCATATTGTAAAAAAAAAATCATATAATTTTATAACAATTCTACTACACTATTTAACAATATTCCTTTTTTATCATATAATAAAATAATAATTAAATATTATATGGTGAACAACAATAAGTAAAACTGTTACTTTATCTTATATTAAGGGATAAATTTATATGCTAAAATTAAATTTTTATTAGTATAAATGTTTTAGTGAGATAATATATTAATTATTTTACAAGCTAGCTCTAACATGCTCATATTTAATGTTTTAAAAGATGTAGAAAAAAACTTATAATAACTCTATTGTTTTTTAGACTTAAACGTTGGTTAAAAGAGGTAAAAATTCCTAATTTTTTAGACATAAACGTTGATTAACACCATAGATTGAGAGTCTATATTTAGTAAAATTCCTAATTGTAATAAAAAAATTCATTTTTGCTATATTTTAGAATATCTTTAAATTCATTATAAAAAAAAGAAAAAAAAACTACAATGAAAAAAGCAAGTCAGCTATATATCGATTTGTTGTACTCCTCAAATCAGATTCACAATTTGGCTACAATGAAAGGAAACTCATTGATTAAAATATTATTTTGTCAGTAGTCTTAATGTACAAGAGATTTACTCCACTTGAATATTATAAAACTTTTATTGAACATTGTACAATTTTCTTGCGCATTATAAACTTTTATTGAATATTGCATCTTATAATATAATATTCTTCAAATAAATATATCCCGTGTTTCGCACGGGTCACGTACTATATATATCCCGTACATTTTTCTTTATTCATGTATATAATTATAAGCCTGGATAAATAGCCTTAAAATTGTTGTGCACCCCGTGCATCGCACGGACTCTGTACTAGTATACTTTTATTTATTATTTATGTGGTAAGGTTTCCACGGTCATCATACTTTTATTTATTATATTAATGTAATATGACAATCGAAGTATATAAATCTGTGCAAAATATACTGCTCAACCTGTTTAATGAGTAGCCACAATAAGGTTCAAGGTTTATATACATCACAAATAATAATAATAATAATAATAATAATAATAATAATAATAATAATAATAATAATTAAGGTTCAAGGTTTATATACATCACAAATAATAATAATAATAATAATAATTATAATAACAAATGTAAAACATCAGTCGGGAACTTTTGATGGTGAGGACACTATTATGTTCAACTTATTGATATCAACAAGAGTACAAGACCATGTCAAGTTTTATAATGACCAACAAAGCAGAAGTAGACAGTTTGCATCATATCATGTTGATTTTTCATTCAGTATCACGCGACTGGTATGTACGGCGTCTCAGCTGAGATTCTGCATTAGGCTGCTGCAAAAATATTCTCGTGGGGTCGCTAGGATCGACATACCTGCATAAAATGGAGAATATTTATTCACATCAATAGTAGAACATTAAAAAAAATAAAATAAAGCGCCATTCAGTCGTATATAGGTAGAGACACATACGCATGTCTCATCATCTCATCCACAGGAGTTTGGGCTGCTTGGAGAGGGTCCACTCGAGGCTGTGCAGCTTGGTGCTGATTGTATTGTCTGACAGAACCAATTAAGTTGAAAAAGAGAGGGATAAAAGTTCCACAGCCACCTTCCTTGAACAGAATCTTGAAAGAATGAGTCGAATAAAGAGCCCTATGCTCATTATCGGGCACAACCTGAAAAAAATAAAAAAATAAAAAATTAGCATGACATTGATTCATTTGATTGATTGGCGTTAAGAGAAGACCATATAAATGAAGTTGTTCATAGCACTTACAGGGTCCACATAGCCAGAAATATTGTTGCAGAAGAAGATTGGCTGGTTGAATTTTTCATCGTGAACATAGAGCTGCATTTTGTTATCCATGTTGCAGTTAGTAAATGACACTGTTTTTATTGTTAACAAGTCAATGAATCATATTTGGGAGGATCGTAAAGGCTAGCTAGCGGCTGTAAGCCAAGACTGTAGCTATGAATTTTTGCTGTTCTTGATTCCAGCATGTCATGTACATTGTCACTAGGACACTCAAATTGGCCTGGCTCGGTCCAGTCCAGCCCTCTGTAGACTAGCAAAAAATGGGCTGGAGCAGAGCCTGGCCCATTTTTCAATGGCTAAGTAAGTCTCAGTCCGTGGGCCAAACAAGGCCGCCCTGAGGACCATGCTTGTTTCTCTTCCCTTTTTATCTCTCGGCGTTCGACAAATAAAAAGCTCAGATGTTTATTCGCAACCACACCAATCATACCAACACTCAACAGCAAAATAAATAAACATTGTATTGATTCTTGCCTCACAGATGGGAAAAATGATGCTGTGAAATAATGCATTTGTCCTACATTGATGGTCCCCTCTGGGTTTGATTGGCCCATTAAGAATTCAAGGCTGAAAATTGATAAATAACGGGCTAGCCCGAGGGCCAAATAGGCACGCATTAAACGGGCCAGATAAACTGCAGCCCAAGCCCGACCATATATGCAGGCCAATGGGCCAACCTGTGAGCTCTTGTCCATTTTGACAGTACTAATTGTCACCATAGCAGTGAGTATGAGCCAAGAATCAAGTTTCCAATAAAACATATCTTGCTGCACAAGCCAATCTAGTACTTGAAAGCAATTCTCATTCACGCACCAAGCAATCAAGCAAACCAAATAATATAAAGAAGAATAACAAGATCATTAAATAATGCACTCAAAATTTCCTCAGACCTCTAACAGATAGTGCCTGCAACTATTTCGGTTAGGTGTGACCCTATTCAGAAGAGACGGATCAGTTGAACATAGAAGTGAAAAGAGAACATATCTTTAGTAGAAGCATGCATGTGCTTTGAGGAGAAACAATAGCAATCAACAAGGCATGGACCATAAAATGTCGCTGGCTAAATCACTAGAAAGTTTAAAACATCATCCATTTTGAAGTCCACACATCCAGTCTAGGTCAACCTATACGTACCAGGGGCATATCAAAGGCAGCAAGATTCCCAACAGGTTTATTCGCGACAAAGACCATTCGTATGTTTGACAAGTAAATAGTTCCTTTTGCTTTAAATTTCCCATCTTGAGTGCTGCGAGTGGAGAGGAACAGAAATATTAACACCAATACTCCAAAAAATCAAAACAACAAAATAGAATGACAGAGAATCAGTAACAGGACTAAGAATGTGCACTTTAACATTTTACAGAAACACAATAATGCTGGTATATAAATATAAGCAAAATTTGTTTTCTCAGGATCAAACCATAGATACAAGTTTTTCAAGACACTATGCCAAAGATATCACCAAGAACAATAGTTTTTCTGGCTACTTCTTCGGCTCCAACCTACAACTAAAAGTGCATTCTTCAGAAAGCACCTCAAGCACTGCAGCTCAAAGAAACTCAAACAAAAATTTTATCATTCTTAACTTTACGGAGGAGTGGAGGCATACTAAGTCTATAAACTTCACAAAACTCACTTAGTCCAAATAATTATTTTTATACTACTTATGTGCCTCAGTGACAAAGAGAAATTTCCTGTTTTCTTACCATAAAATAACAACGCAAAAGAACGAATATTGGTAATGATTGAGAAATAAAGAGAACACATTCATATTATATGAAAAGTTGATATTGATATTTAAGTTAATAACTCATAGGTTGAAGTACGAAGCCTGGGAGAAAAGGATAGCCAAGAATGAGAATGTACACTGAGGCGTCACATATGCACCACTACATATTGAGCTATCGGCACACATGCACCACTTTATATCAAACTATTGTCACACATTCACCACTACATATCGAACTACTGCATATCGAATTATCAAATATAAGAATCTTGTGTACCAGCGAATGGAAAGGAGTCCACATCATTGCATTTAAATTCAACTAATATGAATACAAAAACCAGAATCAAAAGACTGAGAAGTGTTGATTCTGATAGTCAATAAGATATGCCAATTAAATGTTTAGTCATTTCAGACTTGAATATAGATAGATTTGAAGAATGATCCTGCAGAGCACATAAACAGCAAACAAAGCAAAATGAAATTGCATTATAAAAAGAGGAGCATGGAGTCAGAAGCAAGCTCACCCAGGGATCTTGTCGATCTCAAATTCAACGCCATCTCTGGCTAAGACAAACATCTCGTTGAGGAAAGGCACTGGCATCCCATTTGGGAAAAGTTGAGGATTAAGAGCCATTTATCTGGAAAGTAAAGGTCTGTGAATGTGTTAAAATGAAAATGGCTATTCCAGTAGGTGAAGCAATAAAACAAGTAAACAATGAGGCCCCGGAGAAAGTTAAAACTTTGAGTTGACAAATTCTATAACGTGTGGAAGTCAATTAGAGCATAAAATAAATAAGACACATGAGACTGCATACAGTTTGTAACGTGGCCTTAAGTTTCTCATCAAAATAGGTACAAATGTGACGGTCATGGCTATTGGAAGCTAAAACACTGAGCTATCTGTATGCGAACAAGTTAATCACATAGGTGAACGCAGCAAAGTCACCATACTTTCAGTTTTAACCAGAAAACAGATATTGGTTGATTCTTGCCCACAGAAAGCAAAGACACCAAGCCAACAAGCTTTGTGAAGCCACCAAAAACAGAAGACTAGGTTAGCGTTAAAAATAACCTAAACCATAGAGGCAGGTGGTGGCATATAAGTTCTACATGCTGGACGATCATGACCAGAACCATTGACTTGTTTTCTTATTGTTTGCTGGATATAATATCATCCTGAACTTCCTCAAATACACCAATTACAGAATTTCCTGTAACTCACTATACCCTTACAAACAAGTCTTCAAAGCTAATCTAATGTAATTATGTAAACCGTCATTGACTGGGAATAAATTCGAGGACCTATAGGCAATCATTAATTCCATAAACATATCCCAAAAATTAAGCATGTACCAGAAGCATATAAAGCATATACACAACAAATGGAAGGAAAGGAATCAGATACGAGTAACCACCGTTCGCAAATGAGAGAGATTGCAAATTTCTTTCAAACAAAAATCTTTATGCCCGTGATATTATTAGGTTTGATCGGAAGTATGACCACCAAAACACCAACACGGTTCCCCTCAATTTAATTTCTCACACCTGCCGTCGGAGGCCAATTTTCCCAGCTGCTGCCAGATTTTTCAGGAAAATGAGTAAGAAAAAGGAATAAAATTGAAAGGGAAAACTCTCAAGGGAAGGGTTGTCAAGATGGATCTAGTGCGTTCTCGGGTGAGATGGCGTGTCATGTCAACTTAATTAGAACTAGTATAAATACTCGTGTAATACACGAGTGTTGAATTAGAAAGCTTTTGTACAAAATATTATATTTTTTATTTTTTTAAAAACTAAAATAATTTAATTTTATATAAAACATTACTTTGGGTTTTAATTAAATTGTTAATTATATTTTTAATCATAATAATTAAACACTCATACATTAAATGAAAATGTCAACCCGTGTTGACTTTTTTTAGTTATATCATATAAAAATATCGATATTATTTACTATTACATAAGTGTAAAAATATATATCTTAAATAAATAGAAATATTATAGTGATATGTATATGCATAAGTGTAAAATATATTTATTTAATATTAAGCAAAATAGATTATTTTTTTTACTTAATTAGATGTTTAATACATCAAGTGTCGTATCAGTCGTGCTTCACAGTTTTTTAACTTTATATGTAATTTTAGATGTAATTTTAGAATTTATATAATAATTATGTATTTTTATTACATTGACAACATACTAATTAGATTTGAAATAAATATCATTTTTAAAGAATACATACCAATTTCTATTATTTTATAATAAAATTTATAGTTTTATTTGATATAATTTAGTTTAGTTTGATAAATAAATTTAAATTTTATCTATAAGGATATTTATTATTGTTTTGTATCAATTCATAGATAAAAGTATTTTATATCCTTATTAGTAATATATTACTAATAGGCCTAATTCATAGATAAAAGTATTTCATATATATATATATATAGGGCGCTCACATGAGAATGATGCTTAACGAAAGAAATGAGAATAAATCGTAGCCATTAGATTGCACCATCTAATGACTTATAAAAAAGTCAACAATATACCTTCATTAAGGGTATTGTGGTAATTTTATATGAAACAACAAAAAAGGTGGGTCCCAATACACATTTAATATACTACCAACTACCCAAATTAATCAGGTTCACCCACCCCACCCCACCTAATCCCACCCCACGCTCCCCACACTGCACTCTCTCTCACACACCCACACACACAATACACACACACCACTCACACACCGAACCCGTCGGAGAAAATCTCAGCTACCGCAGGCCGCCAGTGGCCCGTCGTCCGCCACCACCGCCCTCCTCGCACACACCGCCATCGTTTTCTGCCGAACTCGCCGCCGGAGCTCGCTGCCGCCGTCATCTGCAGAGCCCGCCGCCGCCGACATTCAAAATTTCTGGCAGTGAGGATGCCATTATCTGCAGAGCACACACAGACACACACTCACGCACGAAATCTCCGGCAGTGACTTCGACCATCCCGCGGCACCGCACACAACCGTCGACCCCCTCGCACCTCTCTCCGCCGATCTCAGACGTCATGTCGCTCCGCCGCGTCGTCTCCGCCAGACGAAGTAATCTCCGCCATTTTCGTCGCCAACGATATAAGAATCTGTTCCGGTCGCCGGTGAGATCGGGAACCACCCTCCGGCGACATTCCGTTCGCGGCCAACAGCGGCCTTCCAACCGCCGGCAGTTCTGCGTACGGCGTGGCAGGGAACGCCTTTTTGAATTACAGGCGCCGGAAAATGACTAGGAAGTTGTTTGGAGTTAGGGGCTTGTAGTTGAGAATTTGATAACTTTGAAAGACCCAATTGCAATTAAAAGGATTTTAGTTAAATTCCAATTTGGTCTATGGACTAAATATGTAATTTGGAAAAACTATTATTTCTTTTTCTTTCCTTTTGTTTTATACAATGGCCAAATATATATATAGAGAGATATTATGTATTTTCAAGAAAAATAAATGTAAAATATTAAATAACAAATAGTAAAAAAAAATATATATATATATAAATGTGTATTAAATTTGCATTATTCTCATAAATGCATGTTAAGGATAAATAAAGTGAAATAATGTATAAATTTTAATATGTGAAATTATAATATATAAAAATATTAAAATAATAAAATATAATTTTATAATAATAAATAATAATTTATTTAAATTATTTAGGTTAATTCTATGAACAATTATATATACTATTCTAGATTTCAAAAAAATATAATTTATACGTGATCATATAAATTAGTGCACTTTATATGTGATCGAGTTGCACTTTATATTAATTAGATATAAAATAAATATATTAAAACTACTTTTCAGAGATATATATGGTAAACTATAAATTAGTGCAATTTATATAATAAAACATTACACTTTATAATAAAAAATGTCGCACTTTATAAAACAACACGTTGCACTTTATAAACACCCTCCACAATTAAATTTCCATACTATTTAATTTGACGTATGTGTCAACAAATTACGCAATATGAATATAAAAAACGGAGCGACATAATATTTACTATCCATCACATTATATATCAAAAAAAAAAAAACATATTCGTGATAACATACTAGAATATCAATATTGCACTTTATATATCAATAAATTGCACTTTATACAACTATATGTTGCACCTTATAACACAACACACGTATAAAAAATACAGTAATTCTAATAAATATTAGTTGGTTAATGTAGGAATTAGTTTTTTTTTATTAATAAACAAAATAACCGCACACGTCGAAATAGACGGAAAATATTACCGATTATTTATTTATTTATGTTTTTATTATAATTAATATTATTTTTAATCTATATTTTTTATGTATTGCGATTGCACATTACGGTTATACAGATTGCACACAACTATCTATCACATTGCACAAAAACAAACGATATCAAACGAATAGAAATTCGATACGAATTTTTATATTTTTGTTCTATTATTGTTATGATTATTATTATTATTATTATTATTATTTTACATATCAAGTATTTCGGTACGATATCATTTTTTTAGGTTTAAAAAATACTTAACACTACCTTTGTATTTATTAAATTCTTAATAATTTAGTATAAATATTTATATCACTAATTAATTTATGTCATAATTGAAGTTTTACAAAAATTACAAAAAATCCCTAACATTAACCTAATTTACATAAAACTAACCCCTAAATCAATTCTCACCCAAATCAACCAAAATTGTATTTCACTTCACCCTGCCAATTCACCGAAAAATGTTCGCAGATTCAGAATGAAATTCACCTACAGTTCACCGAAAATTGTTCACAAATCAGAATGAAAATTCAATTCACAAATCAGAATGAAAATTCACGATGCAATTCAGGTCCAATTCACAAATTCACGAGATGCAAATTCACAGATCGTTCACAGAATCAGAATCATTCAAGTCTAATTCACCAAAATCAAAATCAACCAGAATCACGATGCAATTCCTCAGCCCCCAAGCGTTCCAGGCCGCCGTCTCCCATCTCCCGTTCAGATCTCCGGCGAGCTCGTCCCGTTCAGGTCGCTGTCGCCGTCTCTCTACTATTCCCGACTCATCTTCTTCTGCAACTCGACTGCAACCCACGAATCTTCTCTGCCGTCTTCCTCTGCAACTCACCGTAACGACGGCCCTCGCCGTTAGTACAATTGGGGAGCTCGACGGGCGGGTTGAGTGAGTTTGAGACGGGCAGGTTACGATGTGGCGATGCTGTGATGGCTGACGACCCTCGACTGGTTGTTAGCGGTAGCGACGGCGACCGTTCGGGCGGCGACGAGAGGGTTTCGGCTGATGGCAGTGACTGGTGGTTTTGTGGTGGGTTGATTCCGGGGAGGAGAGGAGGGGAAGGGCGCTGCTGGGTATGGCTGACGGCGCTCGACGGGACAGTAGCGGCGACGACGGCGGCAGTCCGGTGGCGGCGGCGGTGACAGGTGGTTTGTGGGCTGGGTCGGTCGTGTGCAGCGAAGTGCGTGTGTGTGTTTGTAGGTGAAAGATAGATGTGGATGGGGATGGGGTAGGTGGCACGATGGGGTGTGTTGCTTAATGGTGGGCCCCACATTAGTTGGTATCAAATGTCCAATTTATCCTTAATTTGTAGTCAAAAGTCTATAATTGACCATCAATTGTACAATTATTTACAAAACTGCCACAGCTTGTTTGACTGCCATATTTAATATTTGACTAAATCAAGACCATTGATATGTTGGATCCAAGGTACAAACTTTTCGAAGCGAAGTGAAGTCTATAGAAGTCTGCGGAGCGTCTAAGTGAAATGCTGGAGGAACGACATTACGGGCAAGGCTTGTATGATATCAGCCATATGATCCTAACCCTAAAAGTAGAAATATACATTGAGATATATTACGAAGTTAAACAATTGAGTGCGAATTATTAGTGAGTATGTCAAGTTGAACTTATATATATTTGGTTGTCCAAATAATAAAAAATTGTAGTATAAACACATAGCCTTTAAGAATATTAAAATAATAAAAATTTATTAAAATAATAAGAGCAAAAGATTAATTATATATATATGGTGTATTTGGTTGATAAAAAATTACATGGAGATTTTTTTAAAGCATTGNAAAAAAAAAAAAAAAGAAATCATTATGGGAAAAAACATTAGGGTCTTTCACTTTTTGGGCGAGAAAAATAACATTTGGGCCGAAATTGTTCAAACCATTTTTGGAAAAAATTTAAACAGATAAATTTGTTGGGCCTTTTAATATTAAAGTGGAGAGAAAGGCCCAAATAAAACATAATCTCTCGCCATTTCAATCGCCTTTGTCGACGCCTCTCTCACCTGCTATCTATCTGAAATTCGCTAATCTCTCGCCTTCTACCTATCTGAAACCCTCTTCTCACACAGATCTTATCACAAAAAACGCGAGATTCAAGAAAAAAAAAGAGTGTTAAGATTTCTTTCGTTAAACACTCTAAAAATGCGAAAAACACCTGATCTTTTTATTTGTTTTGGTGGCAAAAAGAGATCGCATAGTGAATATCGTGCCGATTTGATATTCAGTAATACGGTGAAAATCGGTACATAAAATTACAGATCTATGTAGATCTATTTTTTTTTTTTTTCCAAAATACAAGAACTTATGCGTGTTAGTTTACGGGTTTTTGAAGATTTGTTTTAATTTATAAAAAATTTCGCCTTTTTTCAAATCACTAACGAAAAAGGTCATTGAATCTTAGAGTTTTGTTAAGATTTTTAAAAATTTTGGTTAAACCGAAACAGATCTGTTATGTCTGAAAACTTCAAAATAATAAATTGTATTATTGGTATAAAATGAGTCTAAGTGGATGGATCTATATATCTCGATGAATAAGTGTACATATTTTTAATTTTTGTTTTGGGTTTTTGAATGATCTATTCAGATTTGTAATGGTAGTGCGTCTGTTATGTTACTTGGGGTCGTGTGTTGGGCTTGTTTCAAGTTGGGTTGGTGGGTGTTGGAGGCTAGATGTGCCTTTTGTTAGGCTACATAGTGGGTAGGTAGGTAGACGGCTTGTTCTGGTTCTTGGGTTGGGCTAAGGTAGTATGTTTGGTGGGGTAGTTTGGGCCTGGGAGGAGAACATTCAACAGGTACACTACACTTTTATATTTCAATAAGGTTGCTATTAATTTGCTAAAAATAGTTTAATATTGGGTCTTAATATCTTTGCTGTACTGCTATGTAACCAAATCTGATTTTGTACAGGAGAAAAAACAAAGAGGAACATTTGGATGCAGAGGCAACAAATGGGGAAAAGAATAAGATAGGTATACTAATAAATTGAATGACTTGTGAGATATTACATTTTGTATATAAAATTATTGTATTGAATGTAACCACATCTACAAACAGGAGAAAAAATAAAGAGAAATTTGGATGCAGAGGCAACTAATCAGAAACATAATAAGATAAGTATACTAATCACATTGATTGATTTTTGAGATGTTATATTTTATATATAAAATAACAGAATTGTAACTAAGTACTCGTTTTCTACAGGAATGCATGAACGGTATGTTGAGGAAGAAGGGAACAACAATAGAACAGAAGAAATTTTGACAACCCAACAGGTAAGAGTAGAAACAATTAAATCAAAAAATGATACATGTGTTGTACATCATGTACCAACCATTTTCTGTTGTTAATGACTCTGTTGTCTTTATTCTTTTGTTGCCTGGTATGTCATACCCAGTCAGCCTCCTCATACTTGGGAATATTTGACAATTCTGTTTTTAGTTTGATGACAAATCTGGCAATCAGCCTTTGGAACACCGCAGAACTGAACTTTTGAACTTTGGAACACTGTGAAAATTTGAAACTCTGTCTGGTATATTTGAACTTTTGAACTGCCTTAAAATTTGTTTGAAATTTAATGCTGAATGTTTTTTTCGCACTGCTATGAAAAATGAAAATGAGAAGTGTCATTCAGGTTTATATAGAGTCTTTAGAATCTAATTACGGCAAGAGCTTTTAATTGAACAAATATTAATATGCACAAAATAAGCACACTCAATATTGACAGATTAACCGTTTCAAATCTATATATTGTTCAATATGTCTTATATGTTTGACTTGCTTCTTTATGGTATCTTGTGTATTTATGCAATGGTACACATAATTAGTGGTCAATTTATCATTTGGCAGTTTCAAAAAAAATTGATTGATAATTGTTGTTGCTCAATAAGTGATTTTTATGATAATTAGGATTGATTTGTTTATTTTATTTTTTCAAATTTATGGTGCCAATTTGCGATTAATTGCTAAAAATAATAAATTTATATTAGGTTGAATTATATTTAATGGACTATTTTTAAAATAAAAATTGAAACCAAAATAGGTAAATAAGTAAAATAAAAAAATTTTATTCAGAACTGAATTCGTGCTTCAACATAGCAAATTTCGAAAAAATAATCAGCAAACTGAACAATTATTGGCTTGCTACAACTAATTATTTAATGGGACCATTTGTCCGGAGCCTTTTACTTTCTCATCTTCTTCTTTGATCTTCTTTGAAGTGCTGGAGTCGCTGTCAAACAACTTTCTTTTCAGTTTTTCGCTTGTAATATCTTCATGGCCATCCTTTATCTTTTTAATTGGAGTGCTGACTTCGCCTTCCGAGGAAGATTCCTTGAAAATATATAAATAATGTAATTAGAATTTAATTAATAAAACAGAAAACGGATTTGATTAATGTAAATAGCATACTTGGTAATGATTGTTATTCGAATCATAGTCTTTATAGATAATCAGACTCCTATGGATCCCCAACATTGAAATAATTAAGTAAATATAATGAAATATCAAAATATGAATTTGCACTAAATAAAATGCATACTTCTAAAGATAGTCCGCGTCGGCCAAATCTTTTGATTAAAATTGGGTCTGAAGTCAAGCGTGAGACATGAAAAGGACCCTATATCTTCCAAGCTGGTTCTTTTTTTTTTCACAATTTTGAACATATATTGTCAACCAAATCCTCTAAGTCGGTTGGCAATGTTGACCCATCTCCAATCTGCCAAATTACAGAATACTAACAAAATTGTATATTAAAAAATTTTATTATGTTGACCAACTTTTCGAACCTCTATCATCTCCATACGTAGTTCCTTGCAAGACTTCCCAATCATATCTTTCGCAACACGGTCCCAACAAAGCACAGTAACAATACCCGTGCTGTCTCCAACAGTTAACACCATTTCATAGCTTAATTTTTAGAAAAAAATAACAAAATTATAACTAATAAATTAAGATAATATTTGAATGGAAAGTAAAATATAAATTTTGTTTGTTTGTAAATCCAAAACCTAAGTATTGCAATTGGCATTTCCTCCTTGCAATAGTTGCAAAAATAATAAAAAACTATTAAAGTGATTATTAATTCAATATGACGCCCGTATTTTTACACTAAATTTGTCATGAATGATATTTTTTAACTATATTTTTAAAACTTTATATGTCAAAAATATATATTATTTACAACTCATATATTTGATTTGAATTTTATTAAAATCAAGTTTTATTGTATTGTTATTTTAATTTTAATTTATAGTCGGTGTCTCCCGTTTGCTAATTTTTCATGTTTTTAAAATTTACAATAATTTAATAATTTAGAATATTAATTTATGCATAAATGTATTATGTTATAAATTTATGAGAGGTAAAATTATTTTAATATATTTAATATGATATCCTTTATGTTTATTATTTTGAAAAAACATAATATCATTTAGTTCCATATATAATATATTTAAGTCGAGAAATAATATTATATAATATTTCTTATAATTTATTTTATGTAACACTTAATTTCCACATTATCTAAAATCTATATAAAAAACACATTAAATTAAATATTTTATGGTTTTTTTTTATAAAGATAGACGAACTTATTTTATATTTTATATATGCAATATGGATGTAGATCGTTAAAATATGATTATTTGAATATATCATAAATAAAAAATAAAATACAAATAAAAAAGTTTTAAAGTTTTAAATATAAAAAAGAATACTAATTCATGATAATTAATATATGGATTAAATAAGAAAAGGTAAGAATGGTATATAGTAACTTAAGAATAAAGAAAAGCTAAAATAGTTTATGGTAATTAAAGATATCCATCTATCTATATATATTTTCTAACATTGGTTGAAGGAACCCATCTATATTTTGTCCAACATAAATTATGTTGCATTTCCTAACATCGCAATCAACACATTATTATTTTCGTTCACGAATTTTCAGACTATCCTAAGTGTGAAAAATAAATAATTCCAGTAATGAATTATTTTCTCTACTTTTGAAAATGATTTGAAACATTTAATCTATGAATGATTCTATAAATAAGATTGTCTAATGGCAATAAATTTAAAGTAAATATACTTTATTTATTTGATTTTAACCGTAACCATTTTATAATAAATACAAGTAATTTGAAATTCAAGATTTAAAATCGAGCTTTAGTTATTTTATTTTATTTTTTATCACTCTATTTTTATTTATATTACAATTTAAGTAAATGCTAGGTTAATTTATGTCACACATATTATCATAATAGAACATTTATACTGTACGTACTATTAACATGTAGCATATTGTTGTATTGAATAATTTAAACAAAATATTTATATTAAGATAGTATATTTTTCACCTAACGAGTAAGTATTTTTTTAATGTTGAAGAATTATATGAAATAAAAATGATTTATTTTAATTATCTTAATATAATATTTTCTCTAACATTAAAAACTACCTTTAAAATATTTATGAAACCTAACATCATATGTAGATTAAATCTAAATAATATAATTAAGAATAAATTATTTATTTAACATCTATAACTTTGCGTAGATAATCTTATTGTATGTGTAAAAACTTAAATATATAATTTAAGTATAAAAAATAAAAGATAGTAAATAAAAGTAAATAAAGAAATGGAAGTTTAAAAACTTAATAGATAATGTTAGTTTTAACTTCTGAGAGCATTACATTAAGGTCGTTCTTGACAATTCAAAATTTCAAGAAACTACTCTCTGAGTTATAGATATTAATTATATTTTCGGCTTTTCATTTTAAATTAAAATCTGCTACGTCTAATCATACCATTTTATTCTGCTCTAGTGTTACAATGTTATTATGGTTCGGGATGGACTGAATGAACCCTTGAACATGAATCAAGGAATTTTCGCGCGGGAGTGGGGCCTCTTATGCATTGTCCTCCTTAGACTGGTAAGCATATATTTCTCGAAATAAATATCTCTAAAATCTCACATTATTTCTCCACTCTTACTTTATCCATCTCACATTATCTCTCCACTCTCACATTATCCCTCTATATGCTGAATATGAACCTCATTTGGGATCTGAAAACATAAGTTGGTGTATCGTTATAGTTGACCATATAACTACCCTATATTAACAAAAGCAATAGGTCTATAACAATCTAATGCATAGTTGACAATACGTTGAAATTGTAATTTCTTTTGTACATTCTCTGAGGTTCACTAGAATCTGAATCTTCCATAGCTACTTGATGCGAGAAATAGTTTTTGAATTGTATAGAGTACACACAACAAATTAATAGCTGACATGAAAATTGAGAGAGGCCGTGAGCCCAACCATTTCTCATTTATTTTCAATGATATTGAGTGTTCATTTCTTGTCATGGGGTGTGCTTGTTTATGTTGATGACAACATTGTAATGTGTAACTCAGTGAGTGTATTCGACATCTGATTGTCCCTGTGAAAGCCGACATGAGTAGTTGCAAATTTTTCCCCTCTCCAACTTGCACATCATAACCTCCATGTTTCCCTCATCCCTGTCTCCTTCTAAGCATTCTCCAATGCTATAAATTTTTCCCCTCTCTAACTTGCACATCATAACCTCCATGTTATTTCTCACCCCCTTCTCCTTCATTGTCTAAGCATTAAGCGTCTTTGAATCCTCCACTGAGGCTGCCTCTGAAATAATTTGACTCACCTTTCTACCAATGGATTTGCACATTACTCATCATTCCCTTATTTCATAAGTAGATAACAGTTTGTTTGATGCTCTGTCCCGTATCCAATCTATAATCAGCACCAAAATACTTTGACCTTAACTACCACTTTATTCGGGAATAAGTTCTGACTGAAGTAACTTCTCTACATATCCTTATTAATTTCCACTCTAATTTGGTTTATATAAGATATAATATAATAGGGAAATAAGAAAATAACAAGAAGTTATAAAATTGCTCCAACAAGAATTAGTTGCCAGAATACCTCCACAGCTATTAGTGTAGCTTTCTCCTCCATCTATGCACAACCATATCTTATATATTGAATTGTTGCAAATATAAATTGTAATATTTGTAATAAAATATAAAAAGGCGATAAATTAAATATCATTAAAGCAATACGAGTCAAAATTTCTAAAGTAAAGCACAAAATAATATCTTGAATTACAAAAATATAATATTATGAAATATAGATGCATTCTTGCTTGGTGTTTATGATTTTACACATAGTTTTTATTATGTTCAACTTTACAAACATACACTTTGTTCACATACACCGATAAACGTGGATACTCTCGCATTCCATATGATGAAGACGTCACTCACGATCCCTACGTCGGAGGGGACATAAAATGTAGTCTCTTGCTATTAGTAAAATCCTTTAGTTATTTTTGTAACTTAGTTATTTTAATTAACTGGACCAAGAAATTACATTAACACGTGTTTTTTTAATATTTTTCTTGAAAATTAATGTCATGCTATATGTGAATTATGAATTCTGCTTACGTGTATGACACAAGCCAACATGAAAATGTATAAGTTGAATGGTAAACTAGTTGAAAATATAAGATCTTGTAATCAAAATATAACCTCATTTTCTAATCTATTATTTGGTTTGTCTTTCAACAAAAAAAAGAGAGTTGTGTTTTTGGTCTACTATTATGTGATTTCTCTTTAATTATTTTATTCATTATATTTGCAATTAGTGTGATACCTAAATATTTATTAGTAATGTAACTACACTTATTTCTTGAATTGAATTAATTAATAATTCAATTCAATTTTACTAAACGCTCAATTTTTTGTATGTAAATATTTTTATATATATACACTAACTATAATTGTTTGGTTGTTTGTTTCGTTCGTTCAAAAATGATGGGGAAGTTTCAAAAGTATATAGAGAGTCGCTGATTAAAGAAATTTTCAAAAATCTCATTCCATGCTTTAGACGTATTTGTCAAGGATCATATGCTTGGCATAATTGATCGGAGTGCCGCTAACATATTTTATCCACTTGACTTGGACTCATTTCTAAGTAAAAAAGGTATTGTTTAATGTTTATGTTCTCTATTTATGTTAACTAGTTATATATCCAATGCATATGTACAAAATTAAATAAAGTATTGTGAACTATTTGTAGAAATATAATATCAAAATTAGAAACTGTATAATGGAAATATCATATTTATAAATAAATATCATATTTTTAATATTGAAATTATAAATTAAACAAATGACATATCACTAGTGCTCGAAGTTTTTAAATATGATATGTCCTTTTTTTAATTTATAATTCTAATACATTTATACACATAATTTAATTAATTTATAAATGTGATGTCCAGTTTATAATTTTGATATATATTCCTACACATAGTTTATAATACTTTATTTAATTTTGTGCATATGCATCGCATATATACCTAGTTAACATAAATAGAGAATATTAAACAATACATTTTACTTAGAAATGAGACCAAGTCATGTGCAGAAAATATACTAGCGGCACTCCGATATCAATTATGACTAGCAAATACCGTGTAAAGCATTGGATATTTGAAAATTTCTTTGATCAGAGACTCTATATACTTCTGTAACTTCTCCATCATTTTTTAATGAACGTACTGCAAAAACAAACAACCAAACAATTATTGTTATTGTATATATATAATAATATTTACATACAAAACATTGAGCGTTTAGTAAAATTGAATTGAATTCTTGATTAAATCAATCCAAACAATAAGTGTAAATACATTAGTAATAAATATTTAGATAGCACACTAATTGCAAATATAATGAATAAAAGAATTAAAGAGAAATCACATAATAGTAAACTAAAAACACAACTCTCTTCTGTGGAAAGACGATTAAATAATTAGAAAATGAGGTTATATTTTGATTACAAGACCTTATATTTTCAATTAATTTACAATTCAACTTATACATTTTCATATTGTTTGTTTCATACACGTAAGCAGAATTCATAATTCACATATAACATGATATTAATTTCTAAGAAAAATATTAAAAAGGAACGTGTTAATGTAACTTATTGGTCCAGTTAATTAAAATAACTAAGTTACAAAAAGAAATAAAGGATTTTACTAATAGCAAGAGACTACTTCCTATGTCCACTCCGGTGTGGGGTCGTGACGTCTTGATTATATTGAATGCGAGAGTATCCACGTCTATTGGTGTATGTGACAAAGTGTATGCCTTTAAAGTTGAATAAAATAAAAACTACATGTAAAATCATAAAGACTAAGTAAAAATGCATCAGTATTTTAGAATATCATATGTTTGTAATTTAAGATATTATTTGGTGTTTTACTTAAGTATTTTTGACTCGTATTGCTTTAAATGGTATTTAATTTGTCGTCTTTTTATATTTTTTTACAATTTATATTTGCAACAATTTAATATATAAGATACGGTTGTGAGGAGAAACCTACACTAATAATTGTGGAGGTATTCTAGGCAACTAATTCTTGCTATAGTTGTTTTATAACTTATTGTTCTTTCCCTATTATATTATATCTTATATAAATCAAATTAGAGTGGAAATTACTAAAGATATGTTGAGAATTTATTCCTGAATAAAGTGGTAGTTAAGGTCAAAGTATTTTGGGGCCGATTATAGATCCGATATGGGACAGAGCATCAAACAAATTGTTATCTACCTATAGAACAGGAGAAAGATGAGTAATGTACAAATCCATTGTTAGAAAGTTGAGTCAAATTATTCATAGGCAGCTGCAGCCAGCCAGTGGAGGATTCAAAGACGCTTGAGTGCTTAGAGAACTACCAGGAAAATAAAAAAAAAAAGTCATCGACTGATAGTTTTATTGATTAGACCCCAAACAACATTAGATAATGCTCAGGGGATGGGGGATAACATGGAGGTTAAGAAGTGTAAGTTGGAGAGGATAAAAATTTGCAACTACTCATGTCGGCTTTCACAGATGTCGAATAATACTCACTGAGTTACACATTACAATGTTGTCATTAACCTAAACAAACACACCCCACGACAAGAAATGAATACTCAGTAGGGATAGACTAGGGTCAGGTACCCTTTGTACATACCTGACATTAGGTAGCCCCTTATTTCACCATTAGATTGACTTAAGATTGAATATGAACCATTGATTTAATATACAAACATGTACAAAACAAAAGAGAAATGATGGACGCTTTGTACATTGCTTGGTATGTTTGTACATGTTAAAAACCTATTTTACCCTTACTATTATAAAAATTATTTTTATTTATTTTAAAACCCATATACTTATGTTATTTATACACAGCAGTCCTACATGTATAAAAAAACACTATAACTAATCTTGTAAGATTTATATTATTGCGATTCATACCAATTAAAAGTAAATGATTTGTTCATCTTTCTTCATTTCAAGAATATGGATCCTCTCATCACAAACAGCATATCGTCTTTCTAATCACAATCCGTCTCCGAACAATTGCACTCCACTCCCAAATACCCCTTCTACATAACCCTAATACAAGACCACATCAATTTCACCCTACAAGTGATTTTTCCTTACGTTCTTGTGCGAGCTCGATTGTTGGGGTTATCGTCACCATCGGCATCACCAATCACCACACAGGGGACGCAAGCTTGATTTTTGGATTTATCAAAGCCTGGAACTCGTGAGCCAAGCTCGGCTATGGCAAAACCATAAAGGTAAAAGCCAATCACCACACAGCTGGGGATTCGAGCTCGATTGTTGAGTTTATCAAAGTCTGGATTGCATATTTCGATTTCGTTTTCCAATTTTGTTTTTCAAGAGTGGTCCGGGCCCATGCAATGTCGGTTATGTCGGTGAATTCAACAATGATGGCTGGCTGATTGTGTTGGGGAGCCATGACTGGTCTTGCAAGATTTGGGACACGACCACCGCCTTGCTTAAGACGATGATAGACGATAAGGTGCAGGCCGTGTCAGTTTGCAAAGTTCTCACCTAACGGAAAGTTCATTCTGGTGGCCATGCTTGATGATACACTGGTGAGTTTCCGATTTTTTCTCCTTTTTTATTGTTTGTGCTATTGGACCTTATTGCAGTTATTGTCTGTCATCGTTGGTTTTTATTGGAGTTTGTTGTGCTGGCTTACATTGTATAATAATTCTGAACTTGGAATGTGGCTAAGTTGAGCATTATTGGGTTGATTAGGTGTACTTTTTAGCATTACATATGGGAAATAAGGTTTAATTTCTATGAGGTGGAGGAGCATCACATATTGGAACTGTAATGACATTTTGCTATTCAGTAATCATAAAGTTCTATTAGTATCTTTTTGGTGTTTTGAGGGGTTTTTGGTGCTTGAAAGAGGGGGAAAGAAAAAAAATGGTTGAATTTTTGCAGTTTTA